GGGGGGGGGGGGGAGAGAATTCTACATATGAAATTTTATTTTCACAATCCTCAGCAGCATGTTCAGACTTCCTAGTAACAGTCCTCAAAGTTAGGGTTCCAAGAAACTGCAAGTATCCAAATTTGAAATCCAAACACAGGGAGTGTGGGAAGAAAAGGCTAGGTCCATCACTGGAAAAGCAAAGGTCTTTTTAATCAACACAAAATATGCTTTTATTTCTTCCATCTTTAAAAAAGTCCCTATTTTCTGTCTCCCATCCCTCGCTCCTAATTCTTTTTTGACCCCACTCCAATCATTCTCTTGCTCCTACCACTTCACTGGAACTGCTTTACTCAAGTTCTCCAAGGACCTTGTAATGTTATATGCAGCCGTTTGTTCTTTCAGTGCCTTATCTAGACCCATAAGCAACACTTCACAATTTGATCACCCCCTCCTCACCACCCTGCTTAAAATATTTTCTTCACTTGGCTTTCAGAGCATCCTGCCCTCTTAATTTGCCTCCTCAATCTCCTTTGCTGGGCAGCCTCCCTGATGTCCTATTAGAGTGCCCGATGACTCAGTCCTTGGAGCTCTTCCTTCCTGTCTACACTCACACTTTGGTAGCCTCAGCCAGTCTTCTAGTTTTAAATATTGCCATATGCTGACCTCTCAACTTCTCCAGCTCAGACCTCTATCCTAAATGCCAGACCTGTACATTCAGCTACCTTTGTGACATCTCTACTCGAAGGGCATCTCAAGTTTAACACATCCTGAGCTTATCCCTTTAAAACCGTTCTTCCCGGAGTCTTCCCACCTAAGTTAAGGACAACGCATCTCTATCAGTTGCTCAGACTAAAACCTTTAAATAATCCTTCTCTCTCTCTCTCTCACACCTTGCCTTTGTCAGCAAACGTGGTTTGCTCTATCTACAAATTACACTAAAATTTATCTACTGTCACCATCCGGTCCAAGTCACAAATACTGATCTGTTTCCATTATTTGCTTCCTTCAAAGACCGTCCTCAATACAGAATTTAAGCTACATGCCCTACAAGGTCCAACCAGACCTGCCTCTCCACCTTTCATTCTCTCTTTTCCAGTCTCTCTGCTTTCTTGGGCTCCTCCAACAGCCAGGCATACTCTAGCCTCAGGACCTTTGCACTTGCCGAAGCCTCTGGCCTGGACTATCTTCCCCTAGATTTTTAATTGCTCACCTTCTTCACTTACTCAGATGTTACCTTCTCACTGACCTCTGGCCTCCCTGACCTTTAAAATTTAACCCCCTCAAGCCTACCCCAGCACTACGGCACTTTCCAGCTTTATTTTGCTCTATAGCATTTTTAAAACATGGTCCTGAGATTAGAATTCTAACAAGCATAATAGTCTAACACATTTTGTTCTATCTTATCATTTCATTCTCTTCACCCCTAAAATGCACATTTAATGAGGACAGGGATTGTTTGCCATGTACCTGGCACACAGAACAGCCCCTGACACATAGTTAAGTGTTTAATATTTTTAAAAAATAAATGAATAGCAAGTAGTTGACCCCTTTTTTCTTTCTTTTTTTAAAAGATCTGGTCTCTTAAATATGAGCTGCTCAAAAAAGGCACTTAGGAAACAATGGTAATGTCTGATTTCAGATGATGCAGTTGTCATCCTGCTCTCATAGCAAATAGCTTTCTGTGTCTTAAGAAAAAAGTTCTACGTTATAAAAAGGGTTATTTCTTATAGTATTTGCAGCAACTAGTACACATTAGGTACCCAAGTTCTAACTAGGACCTGAAATAATCCTTATGCAAACTGTGTCAGTACCTGATTTCCTCCAATGTAGCTTCAAAAATAAAATAGTGGGGATAACTGGGTCCTTACCTAAGGAAAACTGCATATATTTCATGTTTTTAAAATTTTTATCTTTATTGATTTGAGAGGAAGAGGGAGAGGGAGAGAGAAACATCGATCGGCTGATTCCTGTACGCCCCCTACTGGGGGATCAAACCTGCAACCCAGGCATGTGTCCTGACCGGTAGTCGAACCAGCAACTTCTTGGTCTCTGGGATGATGCCCAACCAACTGAGCCACACTGGCCAGGGCTATTTCACGTTTTTAAGAAGCTGAACAGACCCTGTAGGTTATACTCAGATTTTTAAATTTAACTCATCAAAAACTCTCCCTACATTAAATGCTCTTTGAGTCAGGATAAAGGATGTAGCTGTTGAGTGAATATTTCTGTAGAAAGCAGAACTAGGGGATTTATTTAACAGTCGGCATTAGGATAATATCTCATACCTGTAGACTTTTGTAAACCAAATTTAGATCTGTAGCCAGGGATAGTTAAGAGGAGATGGAGGAAAAGGGCTATGACCAAACACAGAACAAATTCGATTCGTGGACTCGAAGTACTCCAGAGACTAGCCAACGATTCGCTGTTTGCGTTGCCCTCATAGGAGGGAGGCAGCTTTCTGAAAGTACAGTGGGCT